CCCCACACCCCCTCCCCACCCCCGACAGCCCCGGCCCGCGCGGCGGCAACGGGCGCGAGCGGGGGCGCCCGCTCCCTCCCACCGCCTGCCGCGCGCCGCGCGTCGCCGCTCTTGGGGGAGTTGAGCGCCCCTCCGTGTCGGCTTGCGAGGCCTCTGTGTGTGAAGGGTAGACGCCTGATTGCGATTGGTTTGACTCCTGCCGCGGCCAACGCCTGTCCCCTCCCTTCCTAACCACCCGCGTAATCGCCACCTCAGGATGACGTGGACGCGGCGGCGCCCAAGGAGGAGCTCGCCTCCGCGGCCAACCGCCACTTCCGCAGCCAGCTTGTCATCGACGAGAGCGGCGTGCTGCTCGCGTTCTGCGCCGCGCTGCGGCGCCGCTCGGTCACGGGGTGACGCGCGCGGGGGACTCGACGCGGGAGCCGGCCCCTTGCCGCGCGGCCGGGGGCCCGCGCCGCGTCGCCCGCAAGGCGCGCGCCGCCAGCTGGCACGGTCGCTTTCCTTGTGTGTCGTCCGCAAGTTTGCTTCTCTGCTGGCGTCCAATCGACGCGCAATTGCGCTCACGCGCACCACCACTGAGGGCGTTTCCTTTCGTTCCCAAAGCGAGGTTTTAAGAGGGCTGGGGAGTATTGTATTGCGCAACGCCGGGCACCGCCACCTCCTGCACGGGCGGGCAGCAAGTGCTACCAGGCACCAGCGCCACACCGCCCAGTCGGCGGTGGGCGCTGCGCGTCCGCGCCCATAGGCTTGTGAGCGGCCCCTAGCGTTCCCTTGATTTGCATCGTTTGGGGGCGTGACGGCGCGGCGCCCTTTGCGTCCCCTGGCCCTGCGCGGCCCTCACGCACCCCCCACTCACAAATGCTTTTGCCGCCGCCGCGCGTCCCACTTATGCTGGACGCCCGCGCGGCGTGCCCCGCATGCGGCGGTGCGCCAGCGGGGCCGGAGAGCCGCGGGCGCCCTGGTGCGCCTCGCATTGCTTGACTCGAGGGGAGCTTATTCGAGAGAGCGGCGCAGCTTCCCACGACTTTGCGGGCCAGCCCCAGGAAGACTCTGGCCCGGCTGCGTTGTGGCCACGAGACCGGGCTCTGAAAGCTCACATCCAACGGACTTGGCGCCTTGCGCCTCTTGAACGCACCCCCCTACACACACACGTTCTCTCACACTCACCAAGCACCCAAGCAGCACTGTGAGCAGCGGCCGAGCGCTGCCCGCTGTTGCCCAACAAAGATCCACCGAGCATGGACGTGATAAGTGAGCTTTGATATTGCAGGGGTTCCCTTGGCCCCCGCCGCTTTGTGGTTCGTGTACAAATCTCTGTGGCGCGGCCTGTGGGGTGCCGTGCACGCACGCGTGGCGGGCGGCACCCCCCTTGCATGCCGCTGCGCGAGGGTCGAGAAACCAACCCGGCGCCCGGCCTTGCGCTCGTGCGCCCGGCAGCACCGCGCCCCCTTGCGCCCGTGCGCCGGCGCCGCGGGACACGCTACCTACTCTCCGTTTCTGAGCGGCCCGGGCCTGCAGCCTGGGCCGAGAAGCCTGCGGCTGTTTGGTGCCTGGAGAGGTCGTGCAACCACCTGGTTGATTGGCGCCGCATCAATAGCTCTTGTACAGGCGCCCTCGCGGGGGAGCGTTTGAATCACCTGCAAAACCTGACTTGCCCTCGACACCCCTCCCAAGTTGTGGAGGCGGTAGTTTGTTGCAGCTGCGCCAGGCCGGCACGGGCCATCCGCCCGGCTGCGGCGTCGCTGCAGAGATGGTTGGCGCCGGCCGAGTGCTTTCCTCCCGAGCTGCTGTTTGTGAGCGCGTCCGCGCGTGGTGTTGCACACAAGCACTAATTTCCACTCCACACACACACTCTCTCTCTCTCCCCCTCTATGCACGTGTTGCCTCTTGTTCGGGGCTTGAGAGAGTGCGCCACCATCCCCCAGGGCAAGCTGTATGATGGGAGGGGTTGCATTGGTCACCTGCTGCCGGGTGGCGATCGATATCGGGTGGGACGGTAGCTTTGGACTGTTGTTCAGGTTTCAGCTTTTCTGACATCGCTGTTTGATATGCCTGGGGCTCCGTGCGCCCCTGTGTGTGCAGCCAGCTGTGTGCCGCCATCACCGGTCTAACGGGCGCTCTTGAGCCCAGGCGCTGTTGCGCCGGATCGTGTCACTTGCTGGCATGGCCAGCGCGTCATTGAGCCTTGAACGGGCAGCCCCGCGGCAACCACCACCACAGCACACATGTGCTTTGCTTTGGCGGGTGTGCGGGTTGCCGCGGTGGCCGCATGTTCATCTTGATCATTGCGAGCGTTGTGTGGTGTAGGTGTGTTGATTATCTGTGTAACATTAGTCATATCAGCCAAGACAGGAAACGCAGACAGTGCGTCACAGGCGCATGCACACACCATGCAGGCCAGCCAGCCATTTCATGTGGAGGCTATGGCTGCGGACGCACAAACCACAAGAGAGCGAGAGAGGCAGAGAGTGGGAGTAGCTTTTTGCCGCGTCCACATAAAACAAGGAAGCGCAGGCGGGCTCGGTGGGGGGAGAGTGGTGACAATGTGGTGCTCAGGGGGCCACATCCAGCTCCAAAAGGCCGATTGCCGTCACAACATGGGGCTCTGCAGGGGTGTTGTTTGGGCGGCTGCGCGCGAACCGGCGCGTTCGTCCACTGCGCTGCCGGTTTGTCCACCCCCATACATGCCTTATCTGAGCTCTCTGTCACTGCGGGAGGGCCAGGGTCCCCTGGCCCCTCCCAACTATGGCGCTGCTGACATAATCCTCCTCGCACCTAGCTTGCGCCCCCCTGCCTTCCACGGACAGCGAGATCACATTACTTGTGCCGGGACGTCGTCCGCACTGGAAAGCAAGTGATGCGTGCTGACTTGCACACGCGTATTCGGGCACGCATGCAGTGTGTCGCCCAAGCGTGCTATCAGGCAGTGTGTAAACCGCGCACGTGCCGCTGTGGAGGGCATGCACAGTGCAGATCCGGTCGCCAGAGCAACACAGCACACGCAACATTGCAGCCCGCAACTCTCAACAGCCCGTCCCGACAAGCGCAACCGCAAGTGCCGCCGATGACAAAACGATGAAAAGCACGCTTGCGTGCCAAACGGCCGCGCGCTGCAAGCCGCGCAGCCCCCTCGTCCCGCGCTCGCCCTACGCCCTCATTCGCCTACGCGCCGCCGTCCTGCTGCCCCTGCGCCGCAGAGGGCGCCGCGGCCGCGGCCGCGGCCGCGCGCAGCTGGTCTTCCCTGTCTCTCAGCACCTTGCCGGCGTTCTCCAGGTTGCGCCACTTGTCCTTCAGGTCCACCTGGGTGGTTGACGCGCGCACGCGCGCGTGTGTGTGTGTGTGTGTTTGTGTGTGTGTGTGCGCGCGTGTGTGATTGTATGAGGGTGTGCGCCATTTGTCTGTCAGGTCCACCGGCGCGTTGGCGGCGACACGCGTGCGGCGCGTGCAGAGTGTAGGTGGCGGAAACGGGAGTCGGAGGCGGATCTGCACAAGTGTCGTGTGAAGAGGCGGCCGAGAGGGACGACGCACTGTCGTGTCCAGGGTCGGCCTGGCGAGTATGGTCGTGCAGAAGCAGCAACCCCAATACGCCAAGCTGCTGCGGCGCGGCAAACCGCACGAGCTGCACGGTTTGCCGCGCCACAGCAGCCCTGGTGCCACCGCTCGATCGCGCGAGCTGCGCGCGACCGAGCAGCGGCACCAGGGCGCCGAATGAACGGGAGAGGAGCGGGGTGTCCAGGCAGCTGGGTGGCAGCCGACAGGCACGTGCACAGGCATGCATGTGCAGCTGCGCCGACCTGCGTGCGGTTGTTGAGCAGGTGGCCAGCCACCTCGATGATGGCCTTCCAGTTGCCGGGGCCGTACTAAGGGAGAGGGTGAGGCGCGGTGTGTGGGCGAGGAGGTGGGGTGGGGTGGGGTTCGGGGTGGATTAGCGCCAGGGAGGTGGCTGCCGACCGCGCAGGTGCACCAGCTGAAAGCAGGCAGCATGGGCAGCCCGGCTCGCCGCAAAGGGAGGCTGCCGCAGCATGCAGCATCGTCCAGGCGCTGCCAGGCACGAGCGCTCGAGGGCCGACTGCTCCGCCTGGCACCTCCCGGCGAGCGCGTTGGCAGAGCCCTCTGGCAAAGGCCTGAAGATTATGATCAGGGATTACTGCAGCGTGCCGCGCTTGCCCGCTCCCGAAGCCATCCAGGCTCATGGGGTTAGACTGCCACGACCAGGGCGCACGGCATGAGGTGCTGTGCCACCCACCGACCTCGCACCACCCCTTGCTGTCGTGGCTGGCTTTGGGGCACCCTCGCGAGCGACCAAGCTGACGCAGTTGAGGGGGCGGCCGCCTTTGACCGGCCCCACGCAACCCCCCGTGCGCCGCCTCCGCCACGCACTCTGGGCCGCATGCCGCAGCCCCCGCGCGCACCTCGGCGCGACCCCTCACCTCATACACGTATTTTATGAGCACGTCCGTCTCCTCCGGCTGCCACCGGACCACCCTGCGCCGCTTGGGCGCGGGGCTGCCGCTCGGGGCAGGCTCGGTGGGCGGCCACTGCGCGGGGTCGCAAGGGGCGGCGAGGCGCGGCAGGGGGTGCATGAGGAGGCAGCTGACGCGGTTTGACTGGTTTGTGACGGCGGGGGGCAGCGGGGTTCAAGGGGTCCCAGCGTGGGGCAGGAAAAAGTGGGATCCTCGGGACGCACGCAGCTGCCCTCAAGGCCTGGGCAGGTCGCTCCCACCCCACTGCAGCGGGTGCGCACCGGCGCAGCTGCGCCGGCGGAAGGCCGTCTGGCTGCCGTTGCGCCCGCGCGGGCGCCCGTGCGCTCTGGGTCCCCACGCGCGTCCTCCCTCCTGCCGCTGCCGCTGCCGCCGCCGCTGCCGCCGGCTGCCGCTGCCGCTGCCGCTGCCGCTGCCGCTGCCGCTGCCGCTGCATCCGCCTCCGCCACCACTTGCTCGGCGATCCGCGCATTCACGTCCGCCTCCGCCGCTGCCCCCGCCGCCGCCTCGTCAGCTGCGGGCCGCTTTGCGCCCTTGCCGCCCGCCGCGCTCTTCTTGGCTGCTTTGCCCTTCTTCTGCTTGCCGCCCGGCGCTGCCTCAGGCTCTGCCTCGGGCTGAGACGCAGCCGCCGCCCGGGGAGCGGAGGCAGGGGCCGGGGCGCCCTTCTCCTGTTTGGGCGCCGGCACTTGCACTGTCTTGCCATTCCGCAGCCGCCGCTCGCTGACGGGCTTGGCGGCGGGCTCACTGGCGGCCTTGGCGGGCGCTGCCGCTGCGGCGGACGGCGGTTTGCTGGCCTTAGCAGCAGGCGCGGGTGCGGCCACGGCGGCAGGAGGAACGGCGGCTGCAGCAGGGGCGGGGGCAGCGGCCGCCGTGGTAGCAGCAGGGGCGGCGGCCGCCGGCGCCGGCGCCGCCAGCGTGGGGGCATTGCGCCCGCGGCGGGCGGCCGGCGCCGCTTTCTGCGCCGCGGGCGACGCGGCTGCCGTGGACGGGGCTGCTGCAGGGGCCGCGGGACCGTACACTGCGTGGCCCTCGGCTGGCCGCTCCCTGCCGCCGCTCAAGATTTCGGCCTCGTGGGCCTGCACGTGGCACGGCATGCGAGGCGGCCAGGGTTTTCTTTGAGGCCAAAAGCGGGCCGCGCTGCGCAGCTGGCACTAGCTGCTGGCGCCCAAGAGCCGCGGCAGCCGCAGCTGCGGCCACGCGCGCCTGACCTTCCCATCGAAACGCAGATTGAAGACACCCGCACCACGCATCCCCCCTTGCGCGTTTCAAAGGTCCAAGAAACCAGGCTCGCCTGCAGGTACGTGGGCCCCAGCGCGTCCCAGGCTGCGGCCGCGTACGCCTCCAGCGCCGGCTGCAGCTCGTCCGCGCTGAACAGCGCCGCGAGCCGCTTCGCTAGGTCGGCCGCCGCCGCGGCTGTCATGCCGCCCTTGCTGCCGCTGGGGGTCTTCCCGATCTCCTTCAAGATCAGGGCCTTCCTGTGGAGGGGGAGGGGATCGGCGCATCGTCGTGTGCGGCGACGGCGAACGGGGGTCGGGAGGCAGAGGTTGAGGGGTGCGAGGGGGGAGCCGGGAGGCGGGGTCCTGGGGCAGAGTGTCGACCGCTGGCGAAGCGGAGAACGATGGTGCATCGACCCGTGCCGTGGCAACCGCCCGCAGCAAGGGCGCGTCGTGCGAGGTGCGACGGTCCTGCACGGCTGCTGCGGCGCGGGCCGAGGTTCCCTTGTCCGGACTGACTCTTCCGCCTGGCCTAACACCCCGGCTCCCCCGTGCTCTCCGACACCCCGGCCCCGCGCAACAACCGCCTACCTGGCCAGCAGGCCCTTCCCGCCCGCAATGGACTCCAGGTTTGCCGCGGCCAGCAGCTGCGACAGCTCAGCATTGACCGAGTCCGCGGTGACGGCGGCCTTGCCCTTGCGCGCGGCGCCCGAGGCGTGGCGCGCGAGCTGCAGCGCGGCGAGGCCGTCGAGCAGCGCGGCGGGCGGCGCCAAGCGCCGCAGGTCGACGGAGGCCGGGAACTCTGCGCTGCGTATGATTGCCAGGGAATAGATGTACCCCAGGGCGCTGAGCGCCTCGTCCGGCGCGTCTGCTGTCACGATGTGGGCGCCGGCGCTGGGGCGCATCGCGCGCAGGTAGACACGCGCGGCGACCGGGGCGGGGAGGCCCCCGACAGGCCCGCTGCGCCTCTGGGCCAGTTCTCCGAGGGCAGCTATGGCGTCTGGGTCGGCTTCGTCCATGCAGATGAGGTGCTCATACCACCAGAGCAGGGAGAGGGGGGGCTCGGCGCTCCCCATCCCGGGTTTGTGTTGTCGAAACGGCTGACGAGCAGAGCAGGATAATAGTGTGTCAAACAAAACTTTGGTCGCGGCTGTAGATGTCTCAGGCAGGACTGGTCTCGCACACTGCTGCGCAACAACGCGTGCCGTTGTTCACGACTGTGTTGTCAATTGCAACGTTTTGGCTGCACACAATCTACTCGTCGCTTGTGGAAACACAAGGAATGCCAGCGCTCCAGCTGCACACAGCCAGGCTGGCGTCGTGCTGCCCGTGCTGTGCATCGCCGCCCGCCCATTAGTCGGGTGTCAAACCTGAGCAGCTTGAAGCAGTGTTGCCGAGCTGTGTAGGTTCGAAAAGAAGGAATCCAACACAAATTTACTTGTCAAGTGGCAGCGCTGACGAGCCGCACGGGTCGTGCGCCCCAACCAGGATCTAAACACACACGTCACAGGTTGCCGGCATACACAGGTCAGCAAGGGCATGACTTCGCACGACAGGGGTGCGTGTTTGCCCGGGGCCCCCCGGCACCCCTGCGGCGCGGGCAGCGGACGTAGGGGTGGCGGCCGGGCTTTGCTTGCTTTGTTACTATACAATCGTCTAGGCCAGCTAGACTCCTCCCGCCGCCAAGCGGTTTCAAGCAACAAACTCGGGCCAAATACAGACTAGCAGCGCTGTGCAGACGGCAACAAGCATAACACCAAACAAGACAGAATAAACCTGCAGACATACAAACCGAGCAATGAGGGCGCACTGCACACACCCAGGAGACAAGCCTGGCCCTGGGCCCTGAGGCCTCTTCAAGGCGCACGCGGGCCGCAGGTTTGGCCACCTGCGGCGACGGTAGCGCGGTATCCGCGCCCCCACACCCCTCTTGGCGCCACATGTTAGCAAGGGCCAGGTTTTCGCTTTGCTTTGTTACGGGTTGATTGATTGATCAATTGAATTGTTACCGCGTCTGCAGCTGCAAGACTCATCGGGCAAAGGTCGCAGCGACGGCCCCACGGCCCATCGCCTTCCAGATGTGGACGGGGCAGGCAAGCAGGCAAGCGCTTCACCCACGCAGCACAGCAAGCACCCACACCCGCACAGGCGCCGGTCACGCCCCTCCCGCCGAACTTGCCGGCGACGCAGCCAGACACAACACGCGCAAGACATGGGCCCCAAAAGGGGACCGGAACAAGCGGTGTGCAAGCGAGTGGAGGGTCCACTCCCCTCTCGCTGGGTACAACCCGAGGGCCAAGTGCGCCAGTCCACAAAACCCGTCGCTTGGCCCCGCCGCACAGGCCGCCGCGCCGGGAAAACACTATCCGCCTTCCCCGTCCCGCTGCAAACTACCCCCCAACAAGGTGCCCACAGCGCAAGGCCCCCCCGATACGATCGCACGAGATCGCTAAGCCAACGATGCGGCGCAGGGCAGGCACAATCGGTCCAATCCTGTCCCGAGCCACAGCGCACCCTGCCCCAATGGTACAGTAGAAACATGCAGGGACGCCAGCCTCCTGCCCCCAAGGGGGGGGGCAGTCGAAAGGCACGCACGCGCGAATCGAAAACGCCCCCTGCGGAGCGCGCGAACAGAGCAGGCTCGCCGGGGGGACCGCACTGGTGTTGCATCGCCGGCACAAGGGCGCGGGAACGACCGCGCGCGGCCGCAGCCTCATAACCCTGATCTACAAGCACTCTGCGCACCAGTAGCCCCCTTGGACAGGCACGCGAGCGTGAAAAATGGAGGTGCGTATGAAAGGACGGCCGCCGCTGTACAGTAATTAAGCGCGGAGCTTTGCTTTGCGTTGCTTTGCTACAACCGTCTAGGCCAGCTAGACTCCTCCCGCCACTGTGACCAACCGGTGCGAAACAACAACAGGACTTTAAGATCAAGCTAGCCGCCCAAGGCAGGCGGCAACACACGTAACACCAAACAAGCCAAGATAAAGCTCTAGACATATAAACAGAGCAACGAGGGCGCACTGCAC